AAAAAAAAAAAAAAAAAAAAAAAAAAAAAAAAAAAAAAAAACAACGCAAAAATACAAAAAATAAAAAGAATAGATTCTACTTCTCCTTTAAAGAGCATTTTACTTTCTCTTGATATAGGAGGAATATCCATAATTATGATTAAATTATATATAGCTAGAAATTAAAAGATCAGTAACAAATCTAATATTTGAAAGAATTGGTCTTATTTGTTTATTTTGAGTTAAGGTCATTTGTGGTCAAAATTAGTTAAAAGGATTGTTTAGTCATGTTTATGTCATAGATTTCTCCAAAAAGATTATATAATATTTTATAATTTGAAATGTTTCTTAAATATGTAAAATGATTTTTGGCCATAATAACCTTTACTCAGATTTATACTCTACAATTAAATTATTCTTGGTGAGCTTTTCTTGTTTTTTGGGGCTTTTTAATTAAAAAAAATTTTAGATGCAAAGGCTTTTTACGTTACCCAGACTGGTCTTGAACTCTTCGGCTCAAGTGATCCTCCCACCATAGCCTTCGGAGTAGCTGGGACTGCAGTCTCTTGCCATTGTACTCAGCTTTAAAAAAGTAATTTCCTTATGTAAACTTTGTGTTTAGTCTTACTATTAGTCTATAAAAGTTTACCATGGTTGCCAGACTTTAAACAGAATACTAAAGTTTTTTTGTTTTGTTTTGGTTTGTCTGTATTTTCTGATCTAAAATTTTTATTGAGTTTTAAATACACAAATCTGAAGTGTGAAGCTTAGTGTATTTTAAAATATATACTCTTTTAAAAAGTTGAACATTTGCATCTACTGGCAAAACTTTTCATTAAACTTTCTGTGTTTTGTTATTATTGTTTCATAGGGCTTTAGAATGGACGTGATTTTAGAAGTTCACTCAATTTTTCTCATTTTGTAGGTGAAGAAAAGGCCAGGAAAGGTTAAAATGCTTAATTTCTTCACATTTATGAAATATTAAAAAAATTGTGATTGGTGATAGAACAGTTATACAGATTTTTTAGTAACTTGTATATTATTTAATAACATTTTATTTAAATATATAACCAGTGGGTCTGAATTGCTTTCTTAGGTTTTGACTATAGTTCTGTAATGCAGTATGATTTCTTTCAGTTCTTGTTTGAAAGGGAAACATTTCATTTTGTCACTGTTACATTTAGTCTTGCTTGTAACATTCTATCCAAATACTGTTTGTTTCAAAATTAGCTTTAGTTGGAGTCCTTCCTCCCTTTGTTTGGCAGAAAGTAAACGAATTTAGGGCAGCGGTCCCCAGCCTTTTTGGCACCAAGCTGGTTTTGTGGAAGACAATTTTTCCGTGGATTGGTAGAGGTCATTGGGATGGTTTCTGATGAAACCATTCCACTTCAGATCATCAGGCATTAGATTCTCATAGGAATGCATAACCTAGATCCCTCTCAGGCACAGTTCACAATAGGGCTCATGCTCCTATGAGAATCTAATGCTGCTGCTGATCTGACAGGACGCAGAGACCAGACGGTAATGCTCACTTGCCCACTGCTCATGTTCTGCTGTGTTGCCCACCCCAAATAGGGACCAAGGGTTGGGGACCCCGAGCTAGGGAATGAACCAGGAAAGACTTCTCAGAGGTAGTAGCATCTGAGCAAGTATGAAGAATAAAAAGTTTACTGAGAACCCAGAACCCTTGCAGATTAGGGGGCAATGCACAGTGAAAATCATCAATTGCTGAGTGTGGTGGCTCGTGCCTAGTAATCCCAGCCCTTTGGGAGGCTGAGGTGGGTGGATTGCCTGAGTTCAGGAGTTTGAGACCAGCCTGGTCAACATGGTGAAACCTTGTCTCTACTAAAAATACAAAAATTAGCTGGGTATGGTGGCAGGCACCTGTAATCTCAGCTACTCAGGAAGCTGAGGCAGGAAAATCGCTTGAACCTGGGAGGTGAAGGTTGCAGTGAGCCTCGCTGTTGCACTCCAACCCGGGCAACAAGAATGAAACTCCATCTCAAAAAAAAAAAAATAAATAATAATAATAATAAAATAATAATCATGGTCAAAAACATAGGAGGGGCTGTCCCTGTGGCTCACACCTGTGTGTAATCCCAGCTCTTTAGGAGGTTGAGGAGGGAGGATAACTAAAGGCCAGGAGTTCAAGACCAGCTTGGCCAACCTGGTAAAACCCCATCTCTACCAAAAACACAAAAATTAGCCAGACATGATGGTGCACACCTAAAATCCCAGCTACTCGGGTGACTGACGCAGGAGAGTCACTTGAACCCAGGAGGTGGAGGTTGCTATGACCCAAGATCGTGCCATTGCACTCCAGCCTGGGTGACAGAGTGGGACTCTTTCAAAAAAATAAAGGCAGGGGGAGGCCTGGGGACATAAGGGATAGTTGACAGGATTTTATACTGTGATTACTTTAAGACCTAGATTGTAATATGTTTAATGGTACTTTTTGATTTCTTAACGTTTTTGATGTGTAGCTAGTTAATATAGAGCTATTAATTTTGTTCATTAGTCGATTTTTCTAATGTAGTATGCCAGCCATTTATACCTTTTTACCTGAGTTAACTACCGTGTTTTCATTTAACTTAAGGTAGTTTTGAACATTTCTAAGCATTATGTCTTAAGATTCAGAAAATATAACCAGATCCACTTATGAATTTCCATTCCACTCGTGACCTGACAAGTCATACAACCTCTCAGCCTCACTTTCCCCACCAGACAAGTAGAATGAAAAAAATTATTTGGCAGAATTGTGATAAAGATTAAGGGATGTACAACAGAACAACCTATTATCATTTTTATGAGTTTTCTCTTATTTATATTATAGAAATGAAATTATGGGGTACTAGAGGGGTATTTTAATCTTGCTTTTTTCAGAACAAGCAGCATGGTAATACGGAGAGAACTGCTGTGTTAGAACTGGCTGTGCCTGGTTCAGCCACTCACTAGCTTATATTGTCTTGAAAAGTCCGTTAGCCTCCCTGAGCATCAAGTTTCTCATCCACAGAATTGTGATTATACCTTTTGTGAGGATTAGAAGTAATGTTTGTAAATCACCTAGCAAAAGTGCCTGCCTGGCCTATGTTAGGAGTGCGTTTATGATGATGATTATCATCTCTAGTATTATGGTAAACGCTTAACAGGGTAAAAGTTTTTTAGTCTGAAACCTTTAAAAAAACAGAATTAAGGTTGTTCCATAACCCATTATATAGTCATGTATTGCTTAACAGTGGGAATATATTCTGAGAACTGCACCATTAGACAGATCTGTTGTGGGAACCTCATGGAATGCACCTACAGAAACCTAGATGAGATAGACTACTATACACCTAGGCTATGTGGTATATGGCCCATTGCTCCTAGGCTATACATCTACCTGTATAGCATGTAGCAATACCGATTGCTGTGGGCAATTTTAACACTTTTAAAAGCATTCATATGTCTAAACAGATATAAACATAGACAAATACAGTAGAAATATGGTATAAAAGATAAAAAATGGTACACATGGATAAGGCACTTGCTATGAATATAGCTTGCAGAACTGGAAATTGCTTTGGGTGAGTGAGTTAGTGGTGAGTGAACTGACGGCTTAGGACAGTACACTGCTGTAGACCTAAACATTGTATACTTAGGCTACCTTAAATTTATTAAAGAAAATTTTCTCTCTCCAGTAATAAATTAACCTTAGCTTACTTTTTTTGTTTTATAAACTTTTAAGTTTTAAAAATGTTTTAACTCATTTTTAGTAAGATTTAAGATACAGCTGTATAAAATGTTTTCTTTATATCCTTATTCTGCAAGCTTTTTTCTATTTTTTACGTTTTTATTTTTCTAAAAAAACTTTTTTGTTAAAAACTAAGACTCACATGCATTATCCTAGGCTCACACAGGGTCTCGATTATTAAGATGTCAGGAGATGATAGGAATTTTTCAGCTATGTTAATAATCCTACAGGACCTCTGTCATATACTTGGTCTGTCCTTGATCAAAACTAGATATCCAGTGTTTCTAGCTAAAGAAAAAACAAACATTTTGAAAAATTTTGAAAACCGAAAAGGTTTTAAACTTCTTAAGGAAATTTAGAGTAGAGTTCATTTCTAGGACTTTGTAATTATATATTTTAGAATTCAAATTGGTGATGTTTGGGATGGGGGTTTAGGGGAAGTTGTTATCTTCCAGAAGAAATGTCAAATATAAAATATATAATTCCTTTTGTCATGTAGATTTATGTAGGAAAAAACATAATAGGATAAGCCTAGGAAGGATTTTTTGGTATGAAGATTTTTTTTAAAGGGCATATGTGATTGGAAATTTGACTGTTGGTATGTGGAGAGAGATAATTGTACATGAAAAGTACTATAACTTGAAAAAATCTTACAGTTAAGAGGACTAGTTGTAACCAAAGGACAAATTTATTTCGGTCCAATGATTACTCCTATCAAAAATTATTGTAGTCTCTACATACCTTTTTTTTTTTTTTTTTTGAGTTGGAGTCTCGCTCTGTTGCCCAGCCTGGAGTGCAGTGGCGCGATTTTGGCTCATTGCAACCTCCACCTCCCAGGTTCAAGTGATTCTCCTGCCTCAGCCTCCGAGTAGCTGGGACCACAGGTGTGCGCCACCACGCCCAGCTATCTATGTACCTGATTTTATTGCCTGTTTATCTGTGACATTTTGACATTTTCCTTCTATTTTGCCCAAATAAGGTGTGGGACTCCTAATGAAGGTCCTGGGAAGGATTATATTATTTATAAAACTTTATTATAGACATGAAAACAGTTCTGAATATGTGAGGAGAAGTAATTGTAGTACTATTAGGTGATGCAGTTTGTAGCTAGGAAATGACAGGATTGATGCTGGTGTGTTAGAGTAAAACTTTCCCTTTGTTTTAAAGTGAGTGAACCTTGTTAGGTACTAGGAAACAGCAGCAGTCTTATGGTTATTCTGGGTTTCAACACTGGAAACATCTAATAACAGCATTATTCTGAAATAATTGAAAATAATCTATTGTTTTAAATAAGGAATTGAAGATAATTGAATATGCAGCGTGAAAGGTTAGGCTGCAACTGACAGTGGGTGATGTTGCAAGATAATGACAAGCTACAGTACTTTTGGATTATCAGGAATTAGCAAAAATGATGTCTTGGTGTCCTCTGGTAATTTCTGAGTTGTGAACTATCTTGATCATTTATGTACTTTGGCAGGTAATGTAAATGATTTCTTGGTGTCCTCTGGTGATTTCTGAGTTGTGAACTATCTTGATCATTTATGTACTTTGGCAGGTAATGTAATAATGAATATAAAACTTTTAATTTTGTGCAATCCTATTTCTTAAACCAATAAATTAGAAAGGAAAACCAAGAGATTGCATCCACAAGATCGAGCCTAAGTAGGTAGTAGAAAGAATAGAAGGTCTTTATTCTAAATTTTATTGTTAATTCAGAATGGATAGTGTCTAATCCCAAATGAGATTATAGTGACTGTAAATTTTAATGTAACAAAGGATTGTCTTGCCATGTTCTTAAAGTTACCATTTTAATGAGCTATAGTAATATTCTAAAACATGCAGCAATCTGTGTAGTCATCCATATGTGACATCTGTTTCTTCATAAAGTGCATTTCTAAGGTAAAACTGTTGGTGGATTTGTATGTATGGTTAGGAAGGCTTATTAAACATTTTTTTTAAATGATAGGCACAAGTATTATGTATTAGATTTTTTTTTGTTTCCCAAAAATGTTACCTACTTTGAAAATCTTAAATCTATAAACACTTGTGAAGGTATTTAGCAGAAGCATCAATAAGCGTTTCAATCAGAATCAACAAGATGGATTATTAGAAACTATGTATATATGCTTATGTAATGGATTTAGAGAAATTTGTTTACTCCTAAAAAATCTTTGTGAAGTTGGGTTAGTATCATTTCTTTCCTTGAAAACTAAAAATCCACATTTTTTACAAAGCGGGACCCCTTAAAACTAATCTCACATTATATCTTTTTTTTTGAGACAGAGTCTTGCTCTGTCACCCAGGCCGGAGTCCAGTGGCACAATTTTGGCTCATTGTAATCTCTGACTCCTGAGTAGCTGGGATTACAGGCAAGTGCCACCACACCTGACTAATTTTTGCATTTTTAGTAGAGACAGGATTTTGCTGTGTTGGCTAGGCTGGTCTGGAACTTCTGACCTCCAGTGAGCCTCCTGCTTCAGCCTCCCAAAGTGTTGGATTACAGGTGTGAGCCATCACGCCTAACCTCACATTAAGCCTTACCCAATTATTTTCAGATTGGCCTTCATCCATAGCATATGGGAAACAATATACTGTCAGAGTTTTCCAAGGGCTTATCATGCTTTTTTGTTTGTTTGTTTTTAAAATTTAATGCTTTATTGCTAACTTTTCTGATCTGAAACATTTTTTAGGCAGTTCTTCATTTTCAATTGTGAATTTTAAGATATTTATGTAGAAGGCTGTCATAGCACGCCATCTTTTGTAGGACAGTTGTGTGCGGGAATTGATTTTTTTTTTTTTTTTTTGAGACCATATTTGTAGTGTGATGTTTAGAAGGAAGTAACCAGAATGGTTTTCGTCTGCTGCTTTGCCCTACATTCAAGGTCTGCTTGTCATAGTGTTTAAAATTGAGTTCATTGCTGAGTTCAAGATGGGATTTAACCAGACTTTTACAAAAGTATTATCTGTAGACTTTATGGCAGTCAGCAACTCAAGGAGGTGATCAATCTTAAGAAACTAGACAGATTTCTTTTAGGTCAAATTAAATTTTAACATTATTGCTGTATAACTCCACCTGAAAATGTTTACATCTTGGTTTTTATTTATACATTAATTTTTTAATGTATTTCTAACTATTTTTTTATTATATGCTTCACTAGAATAAAATTTTCCCAAGTTATTATTACCCAGTCTATCCTAAAATCTTGGCCTCAAGCAGTCCTCCTGCCTTGGCCTCCCAAAGTGCTAGGATGCCTGGCCCCAGTCCATCTAATGTATGTATTAGATTCTTAGAATATTACTATTTATTAAGTAAAATTATTGTTATGCTTCTGATAGCTTAATTACTCCTTATATGCCAGCATAAACACTGTTTGCCTGGTATTACTTTTTAGGTATTCACCAGACCAGTTTGTTAATTTTATTCAAACTTTAGATTCTAATTCAAGTATAAAACCCAAATTCTACCAAATTATTAATATTTCAGATATATTGAGTTTATATTACTTTTTTTTTGCAGTTATACTTAATCCTATCAATTATTAGATTTCCCTAATGTTAATTGTTTTTACAAAGTCAAACTTTGGTAATTCTGCAGTTCTTATGGTGACTTACTATTTCTTAACATTATTACTATTTGATCTATTAGGACATCAAATTCCAGGATGGAGTTCCTTTGTCATAAAACACATATATGGAATTCCTCCCTACTTTTGCTCAAGTCCATAGTATTCATCTGTTTTTATTGCTGTTTTATTTTTAACATAAGGAATTATGTGGTTGAATAGAGGAATTGTATTAGAACACAATTGTGTAACAGAGTTACTTGAAACTAAAAATATATTTCTTATACTGTGGAATTCTGACATGTTTTCCTGTAGCTATAGACCTTAATGTATTCTGTTACTAGATTTTTATATACTAGCAGGTTTTCTAAAAGTTTTATTTTAGAATACTAAACACATTTTAATTTTGAAGAGTATTTGTTTTGAATATATAATAAATGCACATGGTTAAAAATAGTTGAAGTATTATACAAAGTTATAGTATTTCCATTCTGTGGAGGCAACCATGGTTAATCAGTTTCTAATGTATCCTTTAGAGATGTTTTTTATGTAGTCAAAGGTATTATTTTGCCAGCATTAATGTCTTAAGATGAATATTTTAGAGTTTGACATCAAAAGACTCATTTCTACTACACTACTTGAGATTTTAACAATAAAAGTAATAATCTTACTGAAATCTAAAACATAAAATTTGTAATTCTGGCCTGGAATATCGATTTAAATGTAGACCTGAGACCTTTATTGACTTAGTAATTCTATTTTGTTTGTAATATGTTATTACCCAGTTGTATGTTTATCCCCATAATTTAATGAACCTCCTCAACCTTTAAAAAAAATTAGCAGTATTTAATAATGACAATGAATTATTGACTTGACAAACATGATTAGCACATCAAAAGATTAGTTACGACCTGTTTAAGGGTGCGATAACATTCCTGTGCCCCTCCTCCACTACATTTTCAGTTTCTTAGGTAATTGAAAATAATTCTTTTCCTGAGATCAGTTTAGCTTATGTTTGGAGGAAATTACCTTTTTTAAATATTTTCAAAAAATTTTTTCCAAATAATTTGTTGTAACATTTCAAAAGTGTTTTCTTTCTAAAATAACATAGGTTCTAGTAGATAATATCTGTTTACATTAATTATATTCTTTACATTTTCTTATTATTGAGATTTTATGCTTTAACTGAGTTATTTAACACCATATCAACTGTTGAAAAAACTATAATAGGAAATTTTAAGTGAAGTAAAAGGTTTTGCTTTATGTTATCTTGTGGCAAAACTCTTACTTGAGGTCTTTGACCAAAGTTAAAATGAAAAATTTTAATGACAGAAAAGATTGACTCCCATTAGTAAGTAGCTCTAGAGCTAGAACATTATATTTTGCATTATATTTTCTAGTGGTATGTTATGCCAGGAACCACTGCTCTGAGAGTAAAATGTGAATTTATTCTGCTAATAGCAAAAGTAAACTTTTAGTCCCTCTACTGGTTGTCTTTGTTGTAGCAGAGCTTAGTTGTTTATATATATATATATATATCTTATTATAATTATGATAAAGGCTATTTATAACTTTATGGCCAAAGTGAATATTGAGAGAAATTCTAGAGGATTGTTTCCCAACTGAGTGACTTTATAAACATACTTATTTAGGCATAATAATGTAAAATAATTGCTTTTAAGTGTAAGGATTTGGGAATTATTAAATTGCATAGGCTTGACACCAGATACTGAATAACATTATATTACAGTAATTAAGTTGTAATTCTCATTTAGACTTTGGAAGTGTTAAAACTTTATTTTTTGTAAAACATGACAAAAATCTTACAATATTGGCAGAAAACTAAAACTTTTAATTTGCTAGTTAAAATAATGTTGACAGAAAAGGATGACGATGTAAGGAACAGTGCAAAACGGTACATAAGAAAACTTTCTTGGAGGAACGTTTACTTTCTGCTAGTGATTTAGAAATTCATGCTTAAATAAATTTGTTAATGTCAAACACTTATATAATAGAGATGGGAATACATTTTTCCTAGAAATTAAAAAAAAACCTCGTGTGTATAAATTGCATTCACTTAAATCATTATTCTAATTTTTATAGTAACTGATTATTGCTTTTCTTAGTGTGATTCCTGACTAAGCTCTTTAATCTTAGAGAGGAAAGGATCTTAGGCATGACAAGGGATAATTGGTACAATGAGGATGATAATATTTTTCTTTTTCTATGTTTGATCTTTATCTGATTTTCCCAAAATTTAAAGTCACTAAAGAACTTGTTATTTTATTTTGTGTTTATGTATATACTCTCCGAGAGTTGAATTTATATAGTTTTTAAAAGTAAACATTGCTATATATTTTATTTTGTTTCAGTGTGTTTGTGTTGGGGGAAGATATATTGATTTTATACATAAAGAAATTGATGGGTAAGAAATTACAGAATCACAGAAATCTACCAAGTAAAGGAATAGTCTTAGTATAGTTAATTTTATTGCAGAAAGAATATATTAAAAACAAAACAGTCTGATTGTAACACCATTCCTTGTTGGGTGAATATGGCACAATCCAGGTTGGTATGGAATTATGTACAAGAGAATTTAGTAGCTGTCAGACCTCCAGAAGATGCAGAAAGACCATGTGGATTTTAGAGTTAGAATATCTTAATAAGGTTCTGGCTTTGCCACTTAACATCTAAGCCACCTTGAGTTATATCATTTAATCTCCCTGAATATTTTACCTCACCAAGTTTTTTAGGGTCAAATGAAATAAGTGCTTTATTGTTATTATCAAGACAATATTATAACAGTAATGTTATTTTTCTTATAGTAATTTCAGGCCTGTTAAGGGTAGCCTCGGTGGAGAGTGTTTTGTATAAGACTAGTCAAGTTTCAACTAAAAACTTTGTTTTGTTTAAGAAAAAGTAACTTTGGTTTTAGTGTCTGGATTTAGCTTAATTAAATTTAATAACTCAGACTTTCTGTTAAGCTTTAATATATTTTAACTTAATTTTGTAAACATTATAGGCCTTTAAAAAGTAATAGCTTTCAGGTAGATGTCATCATCTAAGAGTCTGTTACATGGTAGATTGTTGTTCTTTAATAGAAATATGACTAGTTCTGTTGCCTCTGAAAGATAATTCTCAATGTGCTTATATGAGAATAAAAATGAATAGGTGTCGGACTTTTGGTTAGAAAATTTGATTTTTTTTGAGACACAGTCTCACTCTGTCACCCAGGCTGGAGTGCAGTGGAACGATTTTGGTCCACTGCAACCTCCGTCTTCTGGGTTCAAGGGATTTTCCTGCTTCAGCCTCCTGAGTCAGCCTCCTGAGTAGCTGGGCTTTACAGTCACATGCCATGACGCCCAGCTAATTTTTGTATTTTTTGGTGGAGACAAGGTTTCACAATGTTGCCCAGACTGGTTTGGCAGTCCTGACATCAAGTGATCCACCTGCCTTGGCCTCCCAGGGTGCTGGGATTATAGGCATGAGCCACCATGCCTGGCCTGATTTTGTTTATGTTAAAATGTAGAAGTGATACAGAAGACCCTACTACTAGTATTTGATCCATGCTGTGGTAGCTTTTAGAGCTTTGCTGATT